AAGATAGTTTATTTGAGCACAAAATCCATGCTTGAGTATGAAAATGGTTTCATGAATACGGGTCCAAAAGTCCAGGGCCCGTATTCATGAAACTGTTCTCATGCCCAGACTGAAATTCTGTGCTCAAGCCCAATTTCTTGTTTCAGTTATAAACTAGTTCAAAAAGCAACTAGGTGATTTTGAAGACTATTGAAGAGACTTCAAGCCAGCTGTCAGGTTAAATGTTTAAACCTGGCTTTTTTTACTGTGTCATATCATTTGAGTGAGTTACAAGAAAGTTTATTTGAGCAAAGAACTAATGCTTGAGCATGAGGACGGTTTCATGAGTATGGGCCCAGGGTTCGAATCCTGGTCTAGACAGGATGATTTCTTTTTTAAATTTAGAATATTGTTGTTGATTATATTCTATTAATTTCATCAGCATTGTTTTTTCCCATAAAAGCCTCACAAGGTATGATTTTCTTTTCAGAAACGTTTCATCAAAGCAATACCGGTAGTCATGCCGGAAAAAGAAATTTTTAATGCATAGCTACATTTTGGGCAGTGGTACAGGGATCCTTAAAATAAAAATTCTTCATATCTGAGGTTTAAAAGTAAGTTTGGTTTGGTTTAATGTTGTTTAACGTCCTTTTTACAGCTAAGGTCATTTAAGGACGTGCCTGTGTGTGTGTATGGAGGAGACAGGATATGTTGTATTTAACAAACAAAACCAGTAGTTATATATGTAAAAACAATGTAGTGAATGTGGTATTGGTCCCATATTAGCATAAACTTTCTAATAATTTCTATTCTCTACCATACCTGACGTATTACATTTAAAAATATGTTTTTATGTAACTCTTTTGTTTCATAAGATTGATGATTGACCTGTAATTGAATTTAAATGAGTTGTTTTAAAATCAGTGCGTGGTTCTATAAAACATATTGTTCACATGTTTAAGTGTTGTATTACATGATAAAAAGCATTTTATATGTCTAGCCCGTCGTTTCAACAGAATTAGGACTAATTAGTGATACAATATTCTAAAATATTCATGGATCTTGATATTTTGTATTGTTAAACCCTTTGAAATGACTGCCTTCGGGCAATGCTCTATTGTTTCTATTTGCTTCTGAGCTCTTACAAGGCTATTAATCAGATATGATATATTCCAAAACAAATTCGNGGGAGGGGGGGGAGGGGGGCACATTGTTTTAGCTGCCAAATAGTTTCCAGAGTTTATTTCTTAGAAACTAATGGTCGGACACTTACGAAACTTCACATGAACATTGATTTGGATGTGCAGAGCGTGTTTTATTTGTCTTTCAGTCGCCATGGCCCATAAATAATTGAGACATTTACGGGTGTACGCCAAGGTGATGCTAACAGTCCATCTCTTTGTTCCGAATTTGCTCCAACTTTGTATGCTTTCCATTACATCATTTGTGACTACATGGACAGTTTAAGGGACGTATGCACCCGTTACAGTTAGAACTTGTTGTTACTTATTTTAGACGGTCTACATGAAGTACCAGTTTGAACAAATTTTCTGTCGAATCCGAACTTTATCGGTTTCTAATACACTTCTAATATTAAAAAGAGTCTTAAGGATCCCCGTACTACTGCCAAAAACTGTCACTAAGTACTGCAAAGTGCTTTTTTCCGGCATTTCAATAGCTATGATAAATATTTTTGGGGAAAAAACCCCTTAAGGGACTCTTATGAGTAATAATAAAGATAAAATAAACAAAACACAATCAACAACAGTGTTCTGTGTGTAACTGATGAAAGGGCCTCAACCAGGATTCGAACCGCGGACTTCAGATTGGTATACTGTCGCTCTAATCGATTGAGTCTATGCCAAACTGTGCTACAATTACAATAACGGAAATTAAGGGGAGGTTACTCTATATATTGGGTAAAACCGCAGTGCGGCGGGACAAGGTTCCTTCAAGGCGTTGTTCCCCTTGCGCTATGTTTCTATGTTTCTAACACTTTAGACATGACATAGATTTTCATTTTACCTCAAAGTATCATTGATGAGTTCTAAAGGGACTAAATGGCCACATGCGGCAGCAAAACATTATTTGGATTTCTGTATCGAAATTCCTTTCGTCGTATTTTTCATGATTATTTTACAATGTTGTATTGCCCAAAACGACTTAAAATTGCCGGTGATCTGTAAACTAATACGAAAACTGTCGATCTGAATTCTGGAAACCAACAACGTTTAAGTGTTAATGCATATGATGTCCATTCCCTTCAGTAACGATCGTTAATTTGTTTCATTGCCACGTAATATTGCTTTCACGCTACATTTACGATATTTTTTCTTTCATGAAGCATGTTGCTTTCAAATGACGTATTAGTTTCTAGTTGTTGCTTTGATGAGCAATGCCAATTTTACTTCTGACAATATTGGCAGGATTTGAACCTTTTGAACTGTGCAACACTCATTCTTTTGGTTTGGTGAATAGGATTAGGTTCATACCAAATTATGAACTACCATTGCGCAAGTGTTATGCCGACACCTATACCTGAACCGTCCTGGGATTGGTTTAACCGATATCCATGACGTACGTCGTTTTATAATATAAACTTTATTCATTTTTCAACAATTATTAAAGCAAGTTATTTCAACTTATACTAATCACTCTTATTTACCCGGATATTAATGCTTTGGGGATGTTAATGTGGGTAGAAACCGGAGTACCCGGAGAAAACCTACGGACGGGCAGGTGACCCCATAACTTTTCACGTCCGATCATGATCAGGGAATCAGACCCCGGTCGCCTTGGTGAAAGGCAAGTGTGCTATCCACTGCACCACCCGACTATCTCTTCTTGAAACGTACGTGCTTGACGCAGAAAGTAGGATGATATGATAACAGGAATTGAGGAGACAATGAAACATAAGGTAATAGATCGTGATTTGAAACAAGATTGATGTAAAACAATTCGCTCGTTGGGTTAAAGCATAAAACTTTTAAGTGTATATTCGATCTTCCCCGACAGGAAACCCTGACTACTTCCAAATTATCGATCAGCATGCCGTGCCCATCAAGGAAAGCATAATGTTTGGGTTGTGAAGAAGGGAATTCACTGCCACTTATAAATTCTGTATGTACAAAATGTAGTATGTGTGTAGGGGTGCGTGACACGGATGAGGAAATGAAACAAGAGGCCCATGGGCCTTAACGGTCACCTGATATATTTATACAGAGAGTTGATTTTGTTTTTAACATGAACAGAATTATTATTCAAAATGACAAAAAAACAATAAAACCACCTTATTCAATATCTAGCATACAGATTTAAGACAAAAAAGTATTTGAAACTAGCACCACTGATTCTAAACAAGGAAACTGAAAAAAA